TAAACATTCTTTCTGGTCATTATATTGATACTTCGAGTTCCATGATGACCAATTTGAGGATGCATTTTTTCTCAAACCCCAATATCTATGAAACAAGATATCCTGATTCATAGTTCCACAATTATCAGTAAGAGTTGAAGCTGAACGAAGAGGTCTTGGCACTCTTCTAGCAAAGCTATAATTATCATCAGCCTTAATTCTAACATTACCATATCCCCTTTGATGAGTCAAATTTCTTGCTCCATTCCCTTTTTCCCAGATCATATGCAATTGGTTATGTATACAGTCTCGACCAAATGGTCTAAGTTCATGAACCTTTTCAGTCACATCCCTCTGTTCCAAAGTTTTCCTCCTGGCTTGAGAGCCTATATATGAACCATCTGAACAGAAGATTGGGAAATTGAATTGGATCTCATTAACTGAAATATTTAAAGCAGGCTTCAGCATATCATTGGAAAGAACTTCTTTCCCTCTGAAAAAAGAAGTTGATGCACTATGTAAAACTCCATTTGCAACATTTCCGGATTGCATAGAAATCTCCTCTGAAATTTTACTGAAAGATCTTGAACTTGCCTTACCAAAATTCATGTGACTAGATTTTTTCTTTCTATATTGCTTTTCAGGATAACATATCTCTTGGAGCAGCCCATCAGCCAACTGAGAATTTTTGCTAGAACTGGGATTCTCTTTCCCATTTCCTTTTGATGGGTTATGATGCTTACTTCTCCTGAGTGCTTTGATCACTTCTAAAACATCCTCAGATTTGTCCTTTTCACTAGTATTCATTCCAAAGGAATGATGCTGATAAGATGAACGCTTCCTTCTGACACCAATGGAAGCAACTTTCTGCTGGTAATTCTCAGAGAGCACTTTCTGTTTATCTCTGACAGGATGTTGGTTAGGCACTTTATCAAGACCCATCAAATTTAAAATAACACTTGCTGCTTCTTTAGACTCCATTCTGCAATTATTACTCTACAAGATAAGTTGATACACTAGAAGCACTCCCTAAACACCAATGAAACTGTCTGCAATAAATCACAATACCTGTAACAAGAAAATAAAAATGATGAATGCATGCTGATAAGTCATAAATATAATCTATTTGGTCATTTCTTTCCTTTTCAAACAGTGAATCCAAAGCAAGAAGAATCACAAACCAACCTTCTATATTACATCTCATCTGTTGTAGACCAAAGGATTAATAAAATAGAGGGTGTGGAATCTAGCGCTTCCTATTCTTGAACACTTCCTGGGAATGATTTTAATGCTCTATCAGCAAAATAGACCTAAATAAATTAAGGAGAAAAGAAATTAAAGAAAGATCAATTTCAGAAAAATAAACACCATTAAAAATCTCATAGGAGAGACATCATAACCTAAAGCACATTCTTCATTATATTCTGTCTAACAAAATCAATATTGCAAAACAGGAAGAAAAAAATAAACACAAAGCAGCAACTGGTGAGATTAGTCTAAAATTGAACCATACTAATTTAGTAGCAAACCAAACATAAACAAGTAAAATATAAAATTACAATAATATCAAAATAAAAGCATACAGGAGGAAGAAATAATCAAATCAACCTGTCAATGAATCTGATTCAACTGTGTTCAATCACTGACAGCAAAGAAACAGTGTAAAGCACTCGGGTAATAGAAACAAGGTGTGATTATTGGAAAGAGCCAACCCAGAAAAATGAAATGATAACGTTCTCCAATTCATGAAAAATAATAAGGAAACAAAATGATTCTGATCCCACTAGAAACAAAAATAAAAAATAGAAACCTTCTTTGACAAAAGCACAAGCTAATCAAGATCCCAACAAAATCATGACTTTACAAACCTCACTCTAATAAAAGACTCATACTTCACCATCCCCACGATCATCATCACAGTCATCATCGTCAAGAATCAAGAAAAAGAAGTAAAAGAAGATGGAGAAACAGAAGAAGTATATGCAGAAATAACCAACCTTCTCAGGCAATCCTTTGAAAAGTAAGACCTTTTTGGATTATGCGGGTACCCATAATCCAGAAACTTCACTGCATGCAACAAAACCAATCAGGGTCGCCTCCTTTTGCAAGAAAGCAAATCGGGGTATTCAATTAATGAATGGTTGCAGCCCAATTTTTGTTATACCATGAAGGAAAAGGACACAGCCGACATAAACATCATTGGGGTCAAAAAAAAGAAAAATAAAAAGAGACGTGGATGCTTTAAAAGATACTTAGCAACTATTCCTCCTAAAAACTCTGGGTAACTAAGTAAAATAGTTTTGTTTTGGTATTTGATTTCTCAAAGTATAGAATTAAAAAAAGGAAATGATTGCAACAACAATTAATGACTAATTATTATTTTATTTTTTCTTTATTGATTTAACTTTGTTTGTCGTGTGTGGATTTCCTCACCAACTGTAATTGTCATGTTTGCGTTTTTGGCGCCATGAAGATATCATTGATTAATGGAAGTGTCGGGTTCGACCATCATTTTACCTTCCTCTGTTCGAAGCATAGAACCTATACCAAATATGATCAAACATTTTATATTCAAAATAATATTGTTAAATTAAAGTATTAAATTTAGATAACTCTAGTTTAATGAGATTAAATTAAGTTTAACTCAAAATTTGTTAGTCAATAATTTAATTAAATTTAAGAATGACAATGTAGACCGAGCTACTTTGTTTTGATATTTTTGCTTTTGTATAAAAAAAACAGTCTAGTTTCTTCTATATTAGAAATGACAAACTAATTTATCTGATGATCTGCATAATATTTGGTTTGCCGACCCATACAAATAATTATTTATTTTATAATTTTCTCGCATAAAATATCAAATATAAACTTTTACTGACTTTATTTTTATTTAATTAAATTAGTAAAAACAATAAATTATATAAACCTATTTTTAAAATAGTAATATTTATAATTTTATAAATTTTAATTCTTAAGTAAAATTCTATTAGAAATTTCATAACAAATACATAACTAAAATTATCAAACATAATTGAAAACTTATAAAAGATAAAATTAATTAATAATAAATTCACACAAATACTTATAAATCGTAGATGCATTTTGAGACAAATCACATAATGTGGATTATATAAGTCTATGTTATTAACTCGTACAAGTTATGTTTTATACAAGACAAACCTAAACCAAAATACTCAATTCTTCAAACATTTTTTTTAATCAATCCACACAATTTATATCATCATCCCTTAGAATTATTGGTATTAGACTTATTAAAATTCTTTATGATAATTATAAAGTTTTCTTATAAAAATAAGTCACCAAGTCAAAGTTGGCACATATAATCATATTTTTTGTTTGTCATACATTTAATCATATTTTTCTTCCAAATTACGCTTTGACCGCCTAAAAATATTGTCTTCTCCACTTGAAAAATATCTAAGCTATAAAATTTGATAAGAAAATAGGTTATTTGTTCTAAAAATAAATTGAAAAAAATTAATACCAGAAGAATATATATGTTTTGAAGTTCATTAATCTCATTACACTACTTTAAAGTCAAAACTATTCACAATCTTTAATTAATAAAAAAAAAATATTCTCATGATGTTGGTTTGGTTAAAATTCAATAATGTTGCGACCCCACGCACTACGCAGCGAGTGTGAAAGTGGCTTTCCATCTTTATCACTTTTCTTTTTTTCCTATATAACTTGCAAATACTATTTGCCGTCAATTTATAATTATTAGACTTTTTTTTTTCTTCAATGAAAAATGTAACTTGGACATAATACGTTTTTTATATATAATTTATTCCCATATGAATCAATTTGAGTACTTTAATTTTTTTATTATAAAGCTCTTCCTCTTTCAATTAATTCATTTTTTATATCCAGTCTACAGTGATTAAAGTGATAGTGCATGATTATTAATAATTTTGTAATACTAAAAAATATATATAACTTCTTCAGTAGATATGATATCCTACGCATCTCATTGTTTTTAGTAAACTCATAAAAAAATATTTTAGCCCAGCCCATATTGGTGATTTAAATAAATTTATCGACTTAAAATAAATTCCACTAATTTCTATTTATAATATCTTTTAAAACACAAAAAACCAAGTTAATGAGAGAGATTAAGACTGAAATAAAAAAAATACAGGGGTATTGTAGACTTTTTAAATCTTGGGAGTGTATGAAAGAAATATGGAAGTACAAAAAGAAGGAGTCTTGTGGGTTTCAGATTTGGCTCTGTTGTTTTGGTGACTATGAATGGTCGGTACAGGCTTGTATTTTAAAATTATTTTGGTGATAAATAAGTGTTTTTTTTCATCTTTTTAAATATTTTTTAGTGTTATAAAATTATGAACGTGTTATTGTATTGATGGAGCGGAAATTCATTAATAAAGTATGTTAGAATAAAATACATTTATTTTTCCTTATTAAAATCGAAAGTTTTTTTTTATCTCTTTACAAATTTTAGGACTTTTAGATCTACAATAAATAATTATTGTTATTGATATAAAGTTAAAATCAGTTAATAACCTTCGGTACTAAACCAATTATTGATTTACCTTAACAAAAATAGGTATCAACCATTGAAGTAAACAAAAATTAAAATTTAACCTTTTTTTGTAATAAAATAAATTTTTATTATATTTTGCTTTTTCTATTTTTCCTCGGTCAAAAGTAATGTAGGATTTTTTATTTAGAAATCTATTCAATAGATAAGACAATTTAACGAACGTGTGAAGTAATAGTAATATGCATCATATAATAAAAAGTATACATATTGTTTTAATCAAATTAAAAAAACAAAATAAAATTTGAATTTCAAGCAATTTTTTTTAATAGATAGATATATATATATATAGCAAATACATTTAAAACTAACAAGCCAAAGTTGCATGCAAAAATTCCGCCATGGAAGCCAAAATAAAAAATATGCAGTCAGAGAATTAATTCCAATTGATTTCTTCAAATTTATAATATTATTTTTACTTTCGTTATTCTGTTTAGAAATTCAAAATTCAAAATCACGAAATTATCCCTTAAGCCCTTACAAAAGAACCGTTTCTTTACCTCTCTCTCTCTTTCTCTCCAATTTTTGCCCTAAAACCCTGGCTGCCGTCGTGGTGGCCGCCGCTGAAGGTAAGTCACCGTAAACTCCTCCGTTAGATCCTTCTTTCGTTTTCTCTGAATTGAATCGATTCAGTAGCATTCTAAGTTTCTGCATTATTATTTGCTCAATTCACACTGTTTTTTCCCCTATGTTGGTTGACAGAAGTAGAATAGCGAAGCAAACAGAGTATTACTCTCCGATTCGAAATGAAGCTCGTTAGGTCTCTTTTCTCTCTCTTTTGGTTGTGTTGGTCAATTTATCTGTTTTATTGTGCTATTGTTGATTTCATTTTCTGGGATCAAAGCCTAATTATACGTGAACACTGTTTGAACAGGTTTTTAATGAAGTTGAACAATGAAACCGTATCCATTGAACTCAAGAATGGCACTGTTGTTCATGGAACCATTACAGGTTCATTTTCTACCTCGATTGTTTTTTTTCTTTTTCTTTTTGCAGTGTACTAGGGTTGCACAGTCATTTACTAATAACATAAATTTTACTACTGAACTAGACTTCCTGACTCACTTGTGTACTAGAAGTGTAGAACCATTTGCAAACAACATACTAGAGTTGGATTGGAAGAGGGGGTTTGTTAGTTTCTAATTTGACTGTGAGGCATTTAATTATTTGCTCGGGTTCTCTGCTCTTTAGGTGATTGATTACTGATTGGATTGTACTCTTTCAAACCTGTTTGTCCACCTTCACTTTATTTCACTACCTTCGGCTTTTTCAGATTTTGATTCATTGAGTTAGACGAGGTAGAAAATTTTAGTGCATTTTCTTCGGTCTGGTACTGAGATGACCCTCTTATAGGGTTGGGTGGGAGATTTTTCTTAGCCTGTAAGTGGAGAGGACTGGGAATTTGGTTTCGTTCATTTTTGGCTGAATAATTACTTATGTTTCCTGTACAGAGTAGTTGATTGTGTGGTTAATTCGGAGTATAATTTAGACTGTGATATGTTGTGTTGGATGATAACATGAGAAACTGCAATTCCTTCTGGTACGGTGGTTTGACAGATGTTGCCTCTGGGGCTTGGATGATGGTTGTTTCTTGTATTAAGTCCTTTTTGTTTTTGGAATAATTGCGGGGAAATGATCCTGTTGTGGAAAATCTCGAGCCTTCAATCACCTGTCTTCTAAGCATAATTCTCACTCCCAAATTTATCTTTTCAGGGGGCTCTGTATATTCTTGGAATTTGCATTTTGGAGAAACTTTTCGGATAGTGAAACTAATAAACTAGGCTTACCTTGTGCTTTTAGTTGATTATAGTGATCTCTTCCTCAATTCAGACTGGAGAGAGTTTGAATCTTTTTCAAGTAGTAACAAGTGTCCTATGACATTTCAATTGTCTGATTTAAATTAATGCATCCTCTTCCGTTAAATTTTGTACTTGGTACCCATCTTATTGAGTTTGATCCAGTCACAAGGATGTGATATTCGGCATGTCATGAATAAGCGTCTCCCTTCACCTCCTTTTGTAGATAATAAGTGAACATGAAGTACATCGTTTATGAATTTTGGGTGTAGCGAGTTTTTCTACTTAAAGTACATATCTTGCTTCTTCCTGGTATAACTCCACAAATAGTTGTCTCTTGCCCAAAAATAGAACTTTGAGATACTGATTTTAAGACTTTTGCAACAGGTGTTGATATCAGTATGAACACTCATTTGAAAACAGTTAAACTAACACTGAAAGGGAAAAATCCAGTGACTCTGGATCATCTCAGTGTAAGGGGTAACAACATACGATACTATATTCTTCCTGACAGCTTGAATCTCGAAACCTTGCTTGTGGAAGAGACACCTAAGATCAAACCCAAGAAGCCAACTGCCGGTAATTTCTGTAGTTTGACTACAAATTTTTCATCCATACTCAGTACATTCTAATTATTTCTTGCCGGGTTCCTCCGGTTTTAATGTTAGCATATTTTTTTATTACTCTTCCAGGGAAACCTTTGGGCCGAGGACGAGGAAGGGGCCGTGGACGTGGACGTGGTCGTGGCCGTTGAGTTCTGTTCTCTAAAACTGTGGCAAGATTTTCTGGGTGTTTTCAGGAACTTCTGAAGAGCGTAATTATAAAGCTGTTTCTTCTCTTTTCTTGCAATGTTCTAGTGTACAATCATCTTCATGCTTAAACTGATGTAACCTGAATTAGCTATTGCCTTATAGTTGTTAGTATGGAATCCTCCATTCAGCAGTATGAAAAATTGCTCATGATGGTTATACATAACACAGTAAATAGGCCAACGAGTTGCCTTATGAGGTTTGAACTAAATGATCGATTTCCCGATGACAGATTCTTAATGTTTATTTAAATGTATGAATGATATTTGTGAGATGTCTTAGTGTTTGCTTGCTTCCATCGTCATACTGTCACATCCGTTGCAAGTTAGTCATGTAAATTTATTTAATAAACCAGGGATATACTAGTTGGATGCACTTGCTATTTGCACTTTGGGGCAGTCAGAGGATACCCGTTGAAGCTCTTTGAGACATTAGCAATTCTGGATATTTACTCTACTCCTGCAGTACTTTGAAATGTAGTATTTTAAAGTACTAAATCAATGCAGAGATTCTATTTCACTATACCATGCAGGCTCCTATCTGTTTTTACCTATAAGCTTGGAAAGAGATACATGCCTTCCTTTTCAGTAAAATCTGGATTTCAATTTACAATTGTGGTTGTGCGCGTGATTCACACAGAAACCTGCCACCGAAATTGTTAATTTGTGCCCTTAGTTTTTACTGCAGAAAATGGCATTAAGTCATGTTCCTTTGGAACACGCTTAATATTCTTGTGCCTCTATCATCTACAATCTTGTAAATATTATAAGTCACAGGTTCATGGCTTATGCTTATTGTAGGATTGGGTTACCTATTGAATTGCCTTCTATGGTCAGATTCCAAATAAGAGTGTAAAGAGTGTGCTTTTAACTTTGGTAAACACTAAATAGTTTTGTACGAAATAAAGAGCATTGTAATCTAGTTAATAGACCGCATTTGCACGAAGTAAAGAACAACGCCTTGCATTCAACAATAATAATTGCTAACGAGGTTTCTCAAAATTCTGGCAGCTTCCTGGACTGAAAATAAGCAAATTTCGAAACTTTAGAATAAGAATAACTGATCCCATTTTCTTGAAGAAACTCGAGTAGTTTCTTGTGTGACTCTGGATCAGCACTCACATTCCAACTCGTAGCTGGTCCCAAAATCATAGTTGGTTTCATCCAGTTCCAGTTTCAACCCTTCCCATTCATGCACAGCCCTCACATTCCTAAACCCACCTAAGCACACCACTCCATTTTCTCCAAGACCGTACTCATCCCTTACCCTCTTGATCACCGTGGAAGAATCCACTGATAAGAGCCTCCATGGTTCAGCAATGCATGCACGCCCAAGTGCAGGGTCAAATGGCTCTTCATGTTCCTCCATGCGGCTGATTCCGGCCGAGATCACTGGCTTGGCCTTCAAGGAGAGGACGCACCCTTCCAGGTTGTAGAAGCGGATTCGGAGAACGGCGAGGTTGGAAGTGAGTTCCTTGTTTGTGCCATCGAAGAAGATGTTTTCTTGGATTAAGGTTTTGGTGTGGAAAGGAGCAAGTAGGTTGGAGAGTTTTTGGTGAGTGGCTGAGTCTGGGAGACGAAGCTTGATCTCTACTTCCATATTCACCTTTTCAAAGTGCTCCAGATGAAGAATCAATCATTGTGCCATGCATACCACTGGTGTTCATGTTCCGCTTTTTTCTGCCTCAAGAAATGGATAAGAATTAGAACGTGGTGATTTTGAGTCATGATATACGTATATGCTCCCCTCCCACCTAGTTTTTTTTCGATAATATTATGTAATTGTAATGATATGAACCCCAAATATTTTAATAAATTTATTATAAAAATATATCAAATGACAGGGTGATAGAAAATACCGGACAGATATTTTATTGCCCTTTATATTATAATATTACTTATATTTATTATAATTTATTTTCAGTTTTAATATGTTATTTCTTAGCTAACTGCTGAAAATTCAAGTGGCCAAAGGTATTACACCATGAACTGTGACCAAACTACCTCAAATAATCATAGCATGCTATAAAAAGATCACATCACAGGTAAATTTTGTTAAAATCTGAGCCATTTTACAAAGTCCCACACCGGCTGAGTCAATTGCATAAGTCCCACATCGACTTCACAATCTGAGATAAGGTGCAGTTTATTTACCTTTTGGGACTAATGGGAATTTTAACCTTGTTTCCTTGGTCTGGTTTAACAGAGAAAAGGACTTTGCTGAAAGACATAGTATGTTAGCTTTATACAGAATTGAGAGGGATGGTCAAACTCAAGAGACTGATTTCATCTGTACTGTTCTAATGCTCATAAGTTTTTATTTTTTTTCAAATTAAAGTAATTTTTTTTTATTTCCCACTAAATTTAAATTTTATATAAATATTATACTGATATTTTTATTAAAATTTATATTTTTATTATATATATATATATATATATATATATATATATATTAAACCAACTCTAACTATATTATTACAACAAATTATAGGGTTATAGTTGGTTTAAAAATAAAATAAAAATATTTCTTTTAATTTTAAACTAATTTTAACTCTATTTTTTTAACCAAGTCTAAACCTATTTCCTAATTCTATTTTGTTTATAAGTAGAAAAAAAGTCAAACATAAATTTAATAATTATGTTCTAATAATATAGTTAGAGTTAATTTGAAAATGATTTTAAAAATATTTAATAAAAATGTAAATTTTAATAAAAAATCAACATAATATATATATATATATATATATATATATATATATATATATTAAATTTGATCTTAAAAGATGAATTAAAAAAATGGATTGAATTGAATAAAGTTAATGAAATTTGAGACTGAATTGAATATAAAAGAGTGATATGTGACATTAACTTTAACATGTGACATTGACATAACACTCTTGTTGCAAGTGACACGATGTCTTGACTTGACACGTGCACTATTTTTTTAAAATTAAAAAATAATTAAAAAAATTTAGAAGAAAATAACAAAAACATCATGAACTGACATGTAACATATCTTGCTTACATGTTATTAACTATTTAAATGGAGTTACAAAAAAACTAAGTTGAATAAAATTAACAAAAATTGAAATTTCACATTTCGTTACTTGTATGTGCTTGGGCCACTTACCCTAGTCATTTATTAATTTTGGAGTAATCTCAATTTTCTCATGTTAATCGTGGATTATTATATCTAATTAATCTCATTGATGTAAATATGTCTCAGCTAAACATGTCTTAATCAAATACATGTCGACTTAGTAGACCAGACATGTATTCGGTCATAAACAAGTCATGTACCGCTATGGGAAATTGAAATAAAAGATATGTTTCCTTTAAGCGAGAAAGAAAAAGTGGTAGTAAAACCTAATTTCTCTTTAGGATCATAATATGTTAACAAATTTTTTTAACAATAGACTATGTGTCGCTGTTTTATTGGTTTGTATATTTGAAACAGACCAATTACGAATTACCATATAAATGGTTGTAAAAAATTATAAAAAATATTGTTAAAAAAACATGTTTCTTTTCTTTAAAATGTTTCTTATGTATAATTTTATTTTTCTCGTTCAATACTATGTCGTTTCACCGACAATAATCACATATAAACCATCAATTAAATAGTTTAAAAGTAAGTAAGTAAAAAATGAATTAATGTATTATATTTGTTTCTACAAACATATCCTTGGTATCATTAATAAAAAAATTTGTATAAAAGAGAGAAAACTAAAAATATATAGTTTTATATAAATTAAAATTAATTTTTGTACAAAAATTTAGAAATGATATAAGGAATTATTTGTAACTTAATTGATGAATAAAACAAATTCAACTTGTAAAATTACCACTTTTATTTTTCTCGCATAGAAAAAACTTGGTAGAAATTGATCTAAATATCTTAAATTTCAATTTAAAAAAAAAACTTGATTAATATATTCCCGTTGCATAAATCCAATATAATATATTTTATTATTCGTGACGCTTTAACATTTGATAGACCACACTAAGCTCAAAACAGTATATAGCTCTTCCAAAAGACTTTAGTGTGAATCATTACCTGCCCCCTCAATATCAGCTAAAAGTTATTTATATTAAGAAAATCTGAATACGTCAACCTCTCTCTCTCTCTCTCTCTCTCTCTCTCTCTATATATATATATATATATATATATATATATATATATTGCTAGTATTAAATAAATTACTAGTATTATTTTTATTCAAAAAAACTAAACTTATAAATATTTTTAAATAGTACAAAATATCATTCAGTAGAGTATCATGCAGTATGAAAATATTCTTAAAAATCCATACGCAAATTATGTCAGAGATCTGATACTGATAACTAATAATTTATCTCTGAATGCTGATATTTAATAATAACTATTATTATGATTAATCTATATTAGCTAATATGTGTGTATATATATATATATATATATACATATATATATATACATATATATATATACATATATATATATATACATATATATATATATACATATATATATATATAATGGCTATATTCTGATAATTTTTGAGGCCATTTGTTGTGTTGTGGAGAGAGAAAAAATGTTGAATGGCAGAGAAAAAATGGCGATTCTTGTGCTTTCTCTTTTCTTCAATCTTCTAATGGTTTGTTTCTGCTTCATTCTAATGATCCATTTCATAATGGAATTTGCAGCTGTGATGCATAACAGAGCTCGAAAACAGCAAGAAGTTCTGTGGGCAGCATTTATCATTGCTCTTTTCTTAATATTTTCCTTTGCTTTTGTTGTCTTTGCCATTTTTTCTGGTTGTGGTATGCTCTACATAGCTAATAGCAGCATCAAGGTTGCACCTTCACCCTCTCCTCTCGAATCAGAACACCACCCACCCATGGTTTAACACTTTCCATCTTCATCATCAAAACATGCTCATATTACTGTTCTTTACCATATTATATTCAATTATGCAGTTTCAAGATACTACTACGTACCCTAAGCTGCCTGTTATAGTTATATATATATATACTTTATTTTGAAGCAAAAGTAACCATTGCACACTTAATTTTTCTAGGAGTTGAACGATTTCAGATTCGTTTGAAAGCATAAGCTGTATGTTAATATCGTCATTGAAATTGCATGTTTTCTATTCTTTACATTGGAACATTCAAACCTTTAATTTGATACTGATAAATCACGTCATAAATTAACCTCCTTGAAAGGAAAAAGATTGATAGTGAGTATGAATAATGTGCATTTAAATGAACTGTGTTAGAAGATGGACTGTAATTATAACGGGTGTCATTTAGACCTTTTATTTTTCTGGCAAACTAGTTCAAATATTTGTTCATGATATCAATATTATTGTTTTTTAAGATGTAAACTTTTTAATCTAACTCATCCCAATAAAATTAGTAACAAAATTAGTTATAAAGTAAAGTTTATACTTATTTATATATTTTACTTTTAATTTATGTAAAATGTTTAATATAAATTTTTATGAAGTATATATATTTTGAGTGTGAAATATTATTAATGAATTAATAAATTATCTGCAAATAACATCATAAATTCAATAAATAATAAATTTTATTAAAATAAATTCTGGATAATTTTAATACCATATCAATAAATAAGTATTAAATTTAAATTCAGTAAAAACAGTTTGAAAGATAAAATTTATCATCATTTATATAATACAAGTTTATTTTTATCGTTAGTTAACATAAAATTTTCAATAGGATTAATCTACCTGCTTTTGGAGCAAATATTTTTCTTAAAGAAAAAGATGAATAAAACTTACTTTGAAAATAAAGGTTACCTAAATCTAACTAGCAAGTAGACATATATATGTATCCATTAGAGTTTGAATGCGAAAATAGGATTTCAAAGTTGCAAATGCGTGAGGTATAAGTTCTATTTTTGGTAAGGAAAAGAAAATGAAAGAGAAGAGTAACAGAGTGCTATCATAATTCATAAATGCAAAATACGGTCTTGAAGATACAATTTGATGTAGAGAGTCTAAAAATTGTCGAAATATGTCTGTTAAAAAATTGCTGCATTATTTCATGAAGAAAAAATAAAACTTTTTAAGCATGAAAAAGTATGTTTTAAACAGATGACATGACATGATGATTTGTGACATGCATATCGAGCTCAAGATATGATTCTGATACATTGGAGACTGAATATCCCTAGCCTACAAAAATAGTAGCACAAAGTACACAAAAGTAAGCCAAAGTTTATGTGTTTGCTCTAATGAGTGAATGTGGAAGAGTATCCCCAAATATCTGCCATGGACTCAGTCACAGCACAACATATGAAAATATGGTAATAAGATGTTCGAATTTCCTTGACAGGTAACCAAAATCACAAGTTAAAACAAACATCACAGTAATACTATAAAGCAGGTTATTACTCATTGAGCCATGATATCAGCTTATAAAAGACTTTATAAACATAAAAGTATATATTATATACACTCAGAAAGACATATATATTATTATACTTTGTACCGTCAATGATCATAATCTTTTCCCATCAATGAAGCAAAGTTAGATGGATAAAAAATCAGACCATCCACAGATGCTCTTTTCACTTCTTTCTCTGATAATGGTCTCGAAAGAGCAAACATCAAGGTACACTAGGGGAGATACTGTCGCGTGGCCTCAGATAAATTTTCATGTGACATGCACTTAAATTATCGATTAACTTTTCCCATAAATTGAAAGACCAGCTAGAAAACTGGCAAATCTGTCACGAGTTTACATTTATACCAAGATATATATAAAAAAGCTAAAGTCAAGGATAGTGTTTCACTACAACTTCTTGTTCATTTCCATAATCATGTGCTTCTTTATACAAACTACAACACAAACCACAAACTAGAAAAGGCAAATCAAGAAAATTGTTGATTTTCCCTACTTTTCTTGTTCCCTTGCAGGCAATCTTTTAACTAGTAAAAATTCTGATAAAATCTCATGTATGGATATAACAATGTCTTGAGTAATAAGAAACGAAGACAAGACAGTGCTGTTTTGTTTGAGAAGTTTCAAAGCCACAAAGCTCCAGCTTGTTTGAGAAGAGGGACAAGGGTGCCACTGATGTGGAAAGCCAAAACCCTGTCCATGGACCCAACAAGTTTTCCTCCAATGAACACGACAGGAACAACTGCAGCAGTGGTGTTGATTCCATTTCCAAGAAGCCTCATCAGTGCTCTCTCCATGTCTTTTCCTTTGGGGTCTTGGTCAAGCTCGTGAACGGTGGGGTTAACCCCCATGCCACAGAAGAGCCTCTTCATTGCATGGCACATGCAACAGCTACTCATACTGAAAATCACCACAGCACTCTGAGAGGCCAGCCTAACCACTCTCTCCATTTGATCCTCTTCCATGGTCCGAACCCTGATGAGGTAGTTCCATGCAGCAGCAGCAGGCTCCACTTGGTAATGCATTATTCTTGTAAGAAAACGAATCAAGTGTTTGTGGAAGGAACTAAAAGTTCAGTTGGATGAGAAAAGTGGGAAGAGGAAGCATGGTTTTATAAGGGTGGAGGAGGGTTGAAAAAAGTGGAAGAATTGAAGAGGTGTGCTTTATTTGTCTGTTGTTGTCGCAGGGCGTGTCTCTGATTCAGAGGGAGTGTTGTCTGTTGTGTCTACTGTTGTGTGATTTATACCTTCCATGATACATACATTGTAGCCGTAACGCTGCTTGCATTGCTTAGTCGATCGAGGAGAAGAATGCATGCATGTTTGTCACACAGTGTGAGGTGAAAAAAAGCAGTGTTATTGATAGAAACAGACGACAGTAGGCAGAAAAAACCAAAAAGCAAATGGCTAATCTACGTATAGCAGATGTGTGAGCATGTAAAGCCGGATGAATGTTTGTCCAAGATTGAGTGAGACCCAAAGAAAGAGAGAAGGGTGCGTCCTTGTTGTCGACCAAGCAACCTTTTTGGTGTTGTTTCTGACATAAGGCATTAGGTAATAATGTTAGTGTCTACGAGGAGTTTTGTTTTGCATGTATGCGAGGATGATGAGGATGATAGAGATGAGAAAAGAGAGAAGAGTAGGGATAGGAATAGGAGAGAGGGTGTTCACCTAAAGCAGTGACAAAGGTGCAGTTGGTGGTGTTGAAAACACAGTGGAAAAGGAGAGAGGAGAGAAGAGAAGAGAGAAGAAGAAGGCGTGGTGTTTCTTTTCTTTCCACCGCATGCTGTGCTGCTCATTCAGGCGGCGCAACCATGCTGACGTGCCCACGCTTTTTCATCAATTGTCGTTTTGGAATAATGACTGCATGCTTTGGAAATCACACTGCTTTTCTTCTTTTTCTCTCTCTTCTTTCTATTCTCTTCTCTTTCATTTAACACACAATATTATATTCATTTCTTTCTTAGAAATATTAAATTGAAAATACTAAAATAAAATTAAAAACATTATTGTAATATATTTATACGTTATCATTCCATTTCAAAGATTGTGCGACCTTGCCATGAAGTTAACCGAAAGTTTGACCGTTGTTTGCCAGGTCAAAAGGGTTCTCCCAATGTGACATATTGGCAAAAATAAATTATTATTTTAAGGTTTTTCTTATTTCATCTCCATGATTTTTATCTGCAAATTTGTAAATTTTAAAATAACAATTTTCGTCTTGTCAAAGATATTTCTGGGTTTTCTGTTCCAAAAAATTTTCAGAACAGTTTTTCTGGAATTTTCTGAAAAATATGAAAATTATCCCACAAGAAGTTTTTTAGAACATTATTTACAATTCCAGAATGAGCTTTTTGGAAGAGTTCTTTTTTACTTTTTTTTTCTTCTTCTCATATAGTGTACGAGTATGATGACCATGGTGGTGACATGGTACAATGAGAGAGGATATTTTAGTCTTTTTATGTAGAATGTAGTTAGCAATAATGAGGGTGCATAAAGAAAGACCCTGTTTTATAATCTTTTGTTGGGCTAGGTTTAACAGCCCAGTTAAAAGGTGACTTGACAATGTTTGGGCCACATTGTGAAATGGTCCGTTTTCAAAGTTCAGATTAAACTCCAAGAGGAGTAACGATTAACAGTAAGATTGGGCCAAAAATAGATAAAATTTATACTCTTTGCTGATGCATGCAATAAATATATACTCATCAAAGTCACTTGCACTAATTTTAATTAAAAATAGATAAAATTGTACTTATTTTTTAAAGGAATATACTAAATAGTACTCTTATATTTGTTAATTTTAAAATAAAATTATATCTTTAATAAAATAACATCTATTTCCCTTTAATTTTTTATATATACACATATCAGAGAAAGATATTAACCTTCTTAATATTCTTAAGATTTGAAGATATTTTCATTTCTAAACAGTATACTAACTTTGTATTTAGTGTTTGAAAAATATTTATTTATATGTCGTTTTTATTATATTAATTTTTTAAAGTCATTTTTAAAATATTTTTAGATTCCTTTTCTCAATTTTTTATCATGGCAATTTCTATGTTTTTCATTATGAAATAATGTCAATACATGAAATAATGTCAAGAATTTAAAAAGTAAGAAAATGTTAGAAACTAATGTAAAATTTCTAAATTTTCAAAACTAAAAATATTTTTAAATATTAGTAAGTGACATTTTAATCTTTTATTTTTATTTTTGAAATATTATATCGACTAGAACTTAAATAAAAACTTTTAAAAATAACTAGTATGTATTTTTTTTTAAATTACAAACAAAAACTACTTTTTATAAATAAAATATGAAAAATGAATATTATTCTATTAAAACATAAAACAATAAATATTATGTCATTAAAAGTACAATAGAGGTAATTCAAGTAGATAGGAGAGTATAATTAATATTATTTAAAATAAAATAGAAGTAAATAAAGTAAGTGCTATTTTGTGCAAAAGTAAAGATGACCTGTCGGAACACGAAATATTATTCGGGATTGTTCTACTTCTATGGTTATCTAGAAGTTATGGTTCTTCTCCTGAAACTTCTCGAACTTTCATCTTTTCTTCTGTCTTGTCCTTTCTGGTTATAAAATCCGGTTGTATGTTACCTTGTTCATCACAATCGAAAACAAAAACCTGAACATTCTCGAAATTGATGCAGATGAAGAACACCTCTTTCGAAAGAACTCCCTGGGGCGTGGTTGAGCCAAGCTATTACAAAGCACCATCTAAGGTGGTTTCCATTCCTGTTCGCTTCGTGAGTTCAGAGCGCAGCAGAGGCGATTCTGCCATAAAGATTCAAAGGGTATTGAGAGGGTTTCTGGTGAGGAAGACGTTGAAGAAGATCGCGGCCATGAGGGTGGAGTTGGCACGGATTGAGAGCGAGATTCGAGTTGAAGTGGTGAAGAGGGAAGCGAAAGAGAGGGTGAGGGTGATCGAGACCATCATGAACTTGCTTCTCAAGTTGGATTCGATTCGGGTATTGCACTACTCTGGCCTCAGGGAGTACAGAAAGTCTGTTATCAGAAAAGCTATTGCCCTTCAGGAAATGCTTGATCAAATGGGTGTCGCTGATTCTGATGAGGGCGTGAAAATGGAAGAGAAGGAGGAGGAATGTGCTGTGGAAGAATGGAATTGTTTGGTGAAGGAAGAAGAAGAAGAAGAAGATAGTGGAATGGAAAATTTGAGGAATGAGGAAGAGTAGGATGAAGTTGAATGTGAGGAAGGTGAGGATATTGAAGGTTTGAGGAATGAGGAGGTGCAAGAGAAGGAAAGTGTTTTGGTGAAAGAAGAGGAAGGAGATAGGAAGAAGAAGAAGTTGTTGATGGAGACGATGGTGGAAGACAACCACAAGATGATAGAGATGATGACGCAACTGTTTCAGAGGAATGAGTTGCAGACTTCACTTCTCACCTCTCTATCACAGAGGGTGGAGAAGCTTGAGAGAGCCATGGATTCAGAGAAGTTGAGGAGGAAGAAAAAGAGAAAGACTGATAGAAAAAATAAACAAACTCATCTCAGAAATTGCTTCATCTGAGTTTCAAAAGAATCTTTCTACTTTTGTAATCTTGGTTTCTTTTTGTCTCTTGTAACTGGTTTTTGTTGAAGTTGATGTTCATTGTAATTCAATTTTCCTTCATAGTACCAATAAAGTGTTCTTTTAGGTTAGTTTTGGAAACTCAATTGCCTTCTTATTATCTATGCATTTGCTCTGTTCAAAAGAAATCCATACATACAGAACGATTTGATGCATTTCCAATTTCAATTCCTTCCAGAAATTTTGCCATAGAACTCATGCAGAAGACCTTGACTGAAGCATATGAAATTTGCATTGCAAATAAGAGGAATTTTATGTTGCTTTCAAAATTAAAGACATATATTAACTCTGATTTAAAATTAGAAGGACATTCTCATCTCAAGTTTTATGGTGTCTATAAAATAATATATCTATAGACAGTCAAATCAATTAGATCAAAAAATAAATTTTAATTTCGTAAATTTAATAAAAGATTGAAAAACCAACATTCATTGAAAAAAAAAATCATATTGCAACAAGATCACAAGACACAACATAGATATATTTATTTAAAAATTTCAAAAATAAACAAAATTTGTCAACTATATTTAGAATGCAGGCTCTTCTCATATTTACAAAATGAATAAATATAAAGTTAAATTATGTACACTTAAATTTGGATCATTTTTTTTGGCTCATAGTAATAATAAATAACATAGCTTTTTAGATATATCCAATTTTAAATTACATCGAAAAGAGAATTTAGCACCCTAAATTTTAATTCTTTGTATAAATATATTAAATCTTAATTTTGTCTTAATTCATGTTTAATTTTATCTCATTTACAATAGATATTTTAAACTTTAATTTAATCGATTTACTGTTTTTGTATTTGTCTATACACGCCTATATTTTCATTTTATTCTAATTAATCTTTAAAACTAAGATGGAAACCAGGGAAGTAAATTTTATTTTATTTTATTTCAAAACTAATAAAGAAAAATAAAATTTAGGTTTTCTATAATTACAACATATTAATAATAATTGAAAAAGTGTTATAAAGTGACCAGAAATGATGACGTGGTAGAAGAGGCGAGAAAGTAGAAGAAGAATCCACAGCTATCTAGAAAGAGAGCATAAATGACGCCACGTAAGCAAGCCGTTATTTCTTCCTTTCCTCCTGAAACTTCTGGACCTTTCCTTTCTTGGTCCCATCTTCTGTATAAATATCTTCCTCTGTTACCTTCTTCCTCAAAAACAAAAGCAAAATCCTTAAAATTCTCGAAATCGAACAGGACCCACAATGACGCAGATGAAGAACAGCCCTACTCATTGGAGCAAGGCTGAGCCTGATCATTTCAGAGTACCCTCTAAGGTGGTTTCCATTCCTGTTTACTTCGTGGGTTCAGAGCGCACCAGAACCGATTCTGCCATAAAGATTCAGAGGATGTTGAGAGGGTTCCTTGTGAGGAACGCGATGAAGAAGATCGCTGCAATGAGGGTGGAGTTGGAGCGGATCGAGAGCGGGATTCGAATGGAAGTGCTGAGGAGGGAGCAAAAGGAGAGGGTGAGGGTGATCGAAACCATCATGAACTTGCTTCTTAGACTGGATTCTGTTCGGGTGTTGCACTACTCTGGCCTCCGGGAATGCAGAAAGTCTGTCATAAAAAAAGCTATTGCCGTCCAAGAAATGCTTGACGAAATGTCTGTTCCGGCTTCAGAGAAAGAGGAGGAGGAAGAAGTGAAAAAAGAGAGGGAGGGTGATTGTGGGGTGGGAGAAGATGAAGGTAATGTAATGGAAAGTTTGCAGAATGAGAGTGGGTGCATGGAAGAAGAAAGCATTGAGTTTGAAACAAGTTTGGTTGAGGGAAAAGAGGGTGAAGTTATATGTGACGAGCAAGAGAAAATTGAAGGTTTGAGGAGTGAGGAGGTGGAAGATGGTGAAGAAGGAAAGAGTTTGGTGAAAGAGGAGAAAGGGGATTGTGAAAGAGAGGAAGGAGATGGGAAGAAGATGGAGTTGTTGTTAGAGAAGCTTGTGGAAGACAAGCAGAATATGATGGAGATGATGGTGCAGCTTTTTCAGAGGAACGAAACACAGACTATACTTCTCACCTCTCTCTCGCAAAGGGTGGAGCAGCTTGAGAGAGCCTTTGTCAGTGAGAAGTTGAGGAGGAAGAAAAAGAGCAAGGCTGATGTCAAAAAGAAGTACTCTTGCCCTAAAAATGGCTTCCACTGACTTGTGCCACCTCTCAGAATGATCTCCATTGTTGTGATTTTGACTTCTTTCTGTCTTCCTCTTGTAACTTTGTTTGTTTTTGAAGTTGATGAGTTACTTTCTCAAGTAATTTTGGAAACTGCTTTGTCTTTTATTACACATGAATCTTGATTCTATAATAGAAATCCAAATATGCATACTTACAATTTGGAGGCTTTTTTATTCTTGTCATAGTGTGGAAGAATGTAATTTGATTATTGTGATCAAGCATTTAAAAAGGTTAGGTGTTATGAATTTCAGATAAATTTCATCATGATTGAGCTTCTTTCAAGGTCTTCAGTATGAGTTCTAAAGCAAAATTGCAACAGATATTCCATTGAGCCATTGAGCTTTTATACAGTTAAAAATGAGTATCAAAATTTTCTAGCAGTGATATCTATCAGGGTAAGTGTGTCGAGATACAAGTGTGTTAATGTCTTTGCATATTGAAAGGGTATAATTGATGGAGGAGACCATTTTAACTGTAAACAGAACACCACCACATGATTAAATATATGACAAAATATATTAGTTTTTTAATTTATTTAAACAGTTATTTTTATATTATTTATGTTGAGATACTAATTTTAACACTTTTACAGGTTAGAGTACAAATATTTAATAATTATTTATTTTAATAAATAAGGAATTTGTTTGTTTTCAAAATGATATTTTTATTCAAAACTTATAAGCATAATGATCGATTTTTTATTTATTTAAAAATAAAATACATTAATATGATAAATTAATTCATAATGACTTATAACTGAATCTAAAAATTGAAATACTCAATAATAACATTTTTAAAACCCATTATATCTCTCGCAATGCTTAATAGTTGAAAAATGGAAAAGTAGGTTATTTTATAAAATGTAAAAAATTCACAATATATAAAATACCACAATAACTGCAGTTTATTAAATAAATAAAATGAAGAAATTGTCTAAATTTTTCCTAAGCTAGGAAAATTTTGGCTAATTTATAGTTATCATGAAGTACAACGTTAAATAAATTTAGTCATAAATAATGTAATGATTAAAATAAACAATACAGTATAAAATAAGAAAAAAAAACATAAAACAAAAAAAAAAAAAAGAAAAATAAAATAAGAAAAAAAAACAATAAATAGGAAGTAAAGTATTTTTATCAATCAGATTAAATTTAAGAGTGAAAAAAATGTATAAATTTTACATGGTGAAATTCATTTTATTTGTATTACTTTTTTTAAGTGTTTAAGAAAAATTATGCAAATAAATCTTAATTCTTTCTAACCACTGAACTTAAGGATTAATGACGTATAACTGTTGTCACTTAATCAGTAATTTTAACTTTCAAAATCTTGTAATTTTATCTTTTTATGTTGACCATACACTTGCCTTAAATATTTAAAAGATAATTTTATCACTTAATATAATTTTATCAATCTCAAACTATATATTTGTACCAAAAAATGATAAATAGACATGAAATAATTTCCAGTACCTTTTCTCGTATTCTTGTCCCTATCTTATGTAGTAGAGAATCTTCAGAAAGATTAGATCTAGGTGTTCCTAAATGAGATGCTGAGACATAAATATACATAAATACAATAGATTTAGTATACTCATCATGTTTTTTTATAGTATAAAAAATATACATAAATACACCTAAAAAGAGTTTTTATAGATATAAATTTTCTATTTTGCATTTGTACAACATTAACATTCAAATTCAACACATCATCAGCTTCTGTGGACTATATATGTCATGGCTTTCTGATAAAATGCAGTTGAACCGAGCAAAAGCAACAATTAAGTTATCACCAACAAATGATTTACTTCTACCAGAAAAACCAAATCAATCTCAGTATTACAGTGTATTATAATGTTTGGTAAGACAATTAAAAAAACATAGCTTCAATGCTTTCACAGTTATGATTGATATTCAACATCTGAATTATGATATAACAGTTAAAAACTGTTAATAGAACTCAGAGCATCCCCACTCTCAGTTCTTGAGTGGAGTCAATTGGTTTTGGAAGAGTTGTGTAGCTGTCTTTCCCATGATCCACTCTAAATCTGATAAAGGCAAAGAGATCTCATTGGCAATATGATGCACTGCTTCTTTGGCTCCTTTGTAACCACATTCAGCAACAACAAATGGAAAATCACTGTAACAGCATGATTGGAAAAGAAAGAAAAAAAGTTACTTTGGTTGTTTATGGATAAGATTCTCTTACCCTTTTCCCCATTCTACTGTTTCCTCACTAAGTTGAGTTCTATTTTAGCTGAACACATGTATGATGGAAGTTACCTGCCCCACATTACACGGTTAGCACCAAAGTGAGAGACAACTTGGGATAAGAGAGCAGACAAATCCAGATAAGGAAACTGTCCTCTTGACACTCTGAAAAGGGCACTAAATTTCACATGTACCTGTCATAAATTCAAAATTTAGCATACTCATGCTGGAGGTTTCACTGATAAAGGAAAAAGAAAAAAACAAAAGACTGTCAATTATTTTGACAAAGGACTTCAACAAGTTAAATGAATTTTGATAACATCAATATCTCAGATTTCATCTTTTACCATTTGACTCGTTTAATTGAAAAGAGGATACTGATATTGGCAAAAATAGATTAAGCATCTACAAGAGTTAAAAATTTGTGCTTGTCATGGTCTTCAGCAGTATAGCAAAAGTGAAATTAATGAGAACTTTATGCGTGCTGTGCTTCCTTGAAGTCACGCTGATGAGGAAAGAATCAAACACTTACTTGTGGGAATCTAGACAGATTTAAAAGTTGAGAAAAGACAAGAGCTTCCTCATCATTTCTGCAACATAATATTCATATAAGGGAACTTGTCTGGGTCTTTCAGATTGTAAATATAATAATATGGCTTACATTGGTGGTTTACAAAAGGCCAAATGGTCAAGCAATACTACTGTTGAAGGAAATTCTGTGCACAGTTGCTCAATTTCAGAAATATGCAGACCAAGCCCCTGAAATTATTCAACTCAATGATTCTTAATTTCGTCAACTTCATATATGGAAGTGTCTCAACAACCGTATAAAAGGGTAGCCATACCATAAGCCAGAAGTAGGAATGTCACAGAAAAATTTGCAATACAAGGAAATGAAAAATCACCTTCATACACATGAAGCCCACTGCTACATTGAGTTCTCCAGCCCTTTGGAAAATTGCCTTTCCAACTTTATTTGTCATCTGCATTGTGATTATTCAATTATGATCCCATACAAAGTAAAAAAGATGTAGACTCTTAGTGTAACATATGATTCCACCACCTTTTTAAAAAGCAGAACTAATATTTTATTAAAAGACCCTATTTACTACAGGTTTACACCTTACAATGATGCGACACTTTCCCTTATTTCTCAAAAGTGAGTCAAATTTAAATACTAAAAAGAATAACATTGAAAGAAACTGCCCCTGTAAGTAAATTTGCTAAACCCAATATTATTCACATCTTCTGTTTCTTGCAGCACATATTTATAGCAATTCTTTTAGGATATTGTTTAATTTCAGGAAAACTTAGGGGAAGTTAGTGTAATTTACTACCACTTCATTAATCTAAGTGAAAGAAATCAAACAATAGAAGAGTAGGGGTGAAAAAAGAATGACTTAATTATGTCTCCAGCCTAAATCATAAACAAGCAGATATGTGAGAGAAATCAGTTTGCATGCCTTTTCTCCGGTTGGCCACAAATACGGATTAAATCGAACAGCACGGTAACCATCCTATCACAGATAAAAAGAAAAATTCAATTGTTTTGTAATAAAATTAACTATCTTGATGAAAATAAGTAATTTATTAAACCTTCAAAACAAGATCTTCAAATTGCTTAAGCCCACTTCCATCATCAGCTGGATTAGCAAGGCAACAACCAACAAATTTGGTAGGGTATTTCTTCAAAACGCTGTCCAATGAACAGAATGACAAGAGTGGCACAATATAATAACCCTATAAAAGTTAAAACAAAATCCATTACATGGAAGATGCGATTACTACAGTGTGAAATTAAGTCCTTGTGAAAGTTTTTCCTCCAGTACACTGTTTAACCAGAAATACTGTTTGAATAAAAAATAGGGTAATCACAGCTGAGAAGCTCATGTTCATTGATGGATCATTCAGGCATCAACAGATAAACTCATCATGTATTGCTAAGTTCTCCACTTTAAGAAATAAAAACTTTGGATACATGTAGTGAGCATAAACTACTTCTTTGCATTTGGAAAACACCAATCTGCTTTATATCCCATAAATGAATGAATATACACATTTGATAGATCAAGCTTTTAAATTATTAGCTTAAGGAATTTCAAATTATCTTGGAGATCTTTCCTTTTGTTTCACTACTAGAAAAGGGTAGTTCCCTGTTTCTACATAAAGGTCCTTTTATAACAGAATGTCTAATCTTATCAAGCATTGCCATTATTGTGTTATCAGAATTTCTCCCTTTCTTCTACCCTATTTTCCTTTCCTTGGCAATTTTAGCATTGGAAAACACATCATTGCTGAGATCACACTTCCACTACACATTCCATCCTTGGCAATTCAAGCATTGCCATTATTGTGTTATCAAGCATTGTTTAATACGAAAACTCTAAATAACTCAGTTCTTACATCAAACAGGTAACAAACCTTGTGACGTAACTATGATCAAATTTATGATTAATTGGTTGCACAATGAGTGCACCATCTACTCCTGCCTCCTCCATACACTGAAAAAAGTGAGCATCAGCATCAATAATATACACACAAACTCAAATGCAAACACAATCTTTTACAGATGGGGAGCCGATATCACATTCTCAATGAATGAGTCAAAAATTGCAGGAAATACAAGAATAATGCATCTACAAACTGTTTACACAGAAATGTTAAAAAAATATACACACTATTGTCAAGTTAATTGACTCACAGGTAATAATGGGTAGAGAGATAATAAACAAAATCCTACCTGGAGCAAAAAATCAGCATTT